CGCACCACCGGCTTGATAGGCAAGCCGGTAATCTTCGAGCCAAAGCCCGGGGTTGGTTTCTCCAGAATATTTAGGGATATTGGTAGGTGGTCGGTACCTTGGTGGGAAAGCAGCGTTGAGGATGTGCCGACCGAAGGCCTGGGGGCCTGGCAGGCTGGGGCTCGGGCTCCGGTCCTCGCCGCTGTCATAGCGTCCGCCACGCCAAGGGTGGTAGCCGCGTCTGCCTCCTTCTCCTGAATCGTTGTAGGCGCGCCTACGGGCGTCGATGGTGCTGCGTGCGTCGTGGTCGCGGCCGTCATGTTGGTGCACCGGAACGGGGGTACGCTGCCTGCCACCTAGCGGTGTTTGGTGTATCAACGCGTCCTTGGCGGGACGCACCGAGAGCGTGCGTTGGCTGGCGTTGAGCTCGTGTCGCTTAGACAACGAGCTCTCCGCCTGTTGCGCCGCCGCGCGTTCGAGCAACGTGCTGATTTCTCGGCGGGCCCGGCGATCTTCGGACGTCGCGGCCTCTGGAAGGCCGTGAAACAAGGTCGTTGCGGCGGCGATGTTCTGGCTTGCCCGGGTGAAGTGAGGGTGGGCTCCATCATCGGTGAGGATCCTCTAGTACACATCATGGGCCGTGGCGCGTGCGCGCCCACCGTCCCCACGACGCTTGATCTCCTCATCGATTCTCTGGTATTCCCAGATGAGTTGTTGTCTGGCATCAGCGATTTCCAGCTTTCGTGCTCTTAGCTGCTCTGTCCTTACGTGGGATGGGGCCGCCGCCCTCCCTCCGTCCCTCACGTCAGGGTTGGCCGTTGGAGTAGTGTCCCCCTCAGAGACGCTTTCGACGTGCCCCTCGGAGGTGTCCGCCATGAAGCACTCCTGGGAGGGGTGATGGCTCCCCATGCTAGAACCAGAGCTAGAGGATGATTCTGGCTCCTCGATGAGGAGTTTGTGGAGGGACTCCGCGTCGTGTTCAATTACCCCCACAAACTCGTTGTTCGCAGGAGTTTGAACCATGCGCAGTGCCATGAGGTGGCAAGCGGTTGCCGCGGCGTTGCGGAAGGTCGTGCCACATCGTTGTCGCTGGAAGGGGCGAGGTGACGCTGGTTCTTCCTAGACTGCTGGGGTCCGAGGGAGACGCCGAGCTGGCGCCCAAGCCGCTTAATGGTTGAGGGCGGTGGAGGGGAGAGACTGGATGGAGGTGTTCGCCCGTACCAACTCTCCCCCCACCATAATGATGAAATCTAGGCTCCCGAAGCGCACGTGTGCGCCTGGGACCCAGCTGATGTCGTGGTTAGACATCCGTGTACTGGTTTGGAACGCACAAAGACCCCTACCTGGCTCGCCAACTGTCGGTGTTTCGAACAAACACCGGCGAGTGAATTTATAATTGATGCACGTTAGGCCTGGATGGTGTGCTAAAGGACACAAGGTTTATACTAGTTCGGGCCGAATGTCCCTACGTCCAGTTCGCTGCTGCTGCTTGTATTATTAGCACCAAATATGGTTCGTAGTAGGGGGTACAAACGGTCGAGAGAGGGACAGGTCCCAGGTCTCTGATGGAGGGGTCGAAAGGATGCCAAGGGCCTGGCGGTGACTTGGCTGTGTGTGCGTGGAACAGAAGGCTCTATGAGCTTGTCTGTATGTGAGTTGTCCGTTGAAAGTCGATTTGCTCGGTCCCTTTCTTCATAGGGAGCCCCATCCTCCCTTTTATAGACGAAGGGGGGAGCAGGGGTTACAGGTGAAAAAATACCAAGGGTATAGAAGGTCCTTCGAAGGGCTCAGGTCTTTCTTTTCCTCCAAGTCAGCCTCAGACACGACCAGCTGGTGTCAGAGGTTGGCACGTTCGCCGGGTATTTATGTGCTGATGATGCTGCGTTCTGCAAGTGGTCATGTCCCATCCCGTCTCTGCGGGCGACGTGTCAGGCAGGAGTGCCGGCCTGCGATACTATGGGGGGCGAACGGTGCGGCACCCGTACGCTTGTCAGCATCGGGGATGTGAGTCCTATTGCGGTGTTTGTGTTCGGCTCCATGCTCGAGGGTTGAAGGCAGCGCCCGCAATACTGTAGGCCACAAAACCCGGCGCCTACAGTACTACTCAGGTTCTGTCATGTCCGGCAGGGCCTAAAGCGCTCGTCCCGTCGTACTTCGATGGTACTTGTTAGTAGAGTAGGGCATGGTCCTTGCTTTCGTGGTTTGACCCTAACGTCCTGTCTTACCCTGTTCCTGCCATCATGGAGGGGCAGGATGAGGACGTCAGGTGAGGCGGTGCTCAGCCCTTGTTGGTCAGACGAGGTGGAGTCTGGCCCTCGGGGGTCGGACGAGGCGGAGTCTGGCCCTCTGGGGCCGGACGAGGCGGAGTTTGGCCCTCGGGGGTCGGCCGAGGCGGAGTCTGGCCCTCGGGGTTGGCCAAGGCAGAGTCGTTGCCCTCCTGTTCGATTGGGAATGTCGTTGGTACTTATCAACTCTACCTCATTGGGTATCCTAGTATTAGATCCCCGACAGGGAAAATTTAGAGGACCAAAAGCAAGCATCAATAATTTACAAGAGGTAATGGTCCGAGAAAGGGAGGATAGTGGATTATGGATTGCCTGTGTAATAGGGAGAATATGTAGGAAGCTAGGCGTAAATCCATAATGCCACATAGGGACATTTGCAAGGGCAAGATAAGTTTTATGTAGTACCCTTTAGTTTTACAAAGTAGTATCTTTTAGCATCACATAAACTTGCCTCTTGCATTGCATCCTAGCAAGTAGGTAGTTTTCTAATTTTAAAAAAAAAATTATTATTTGCTTGCTTTGGTCGTGTTGTCATCAATCACCAAAAAGGGGGAGATTATAAGCAAAATGGACCCTTGGCCCATTTACTTTGGATTTTGGTGTTTGATGACCAACACAACCAAATTGGACTAATGAACTTGCAAGTGATTGTTTTGTAGTTCAATAAGATGCAATACGTGACTTTGACAAAGGCGATGTGATGATCCCATGATCAACACCATAAGCAAGACCCTTGCAGCACAAGAGAAGACCCAAGATATCAAGCAAAGTCCAAGCATGAAGATAGGAACCAAGCCGGACGCAAGATCGCGAACAAACGAGCTCACAGAGGTGACAGGACACTGCACAAGACGCTGCACAGGACGCTGCACAGGACGCTCCGATGCACAGGACGCTACACCGGACGCTGCACAGGACGCTGCACAGGACGCTCCGATGTATAGGACGCTGCACCGGACGCTGCACAGGACGCTCCGATCAAAAGGCTCGGCAATAGCAGAGTCAACAACAGCGATCGGACGCTGCACAGGACGCTGCACCAGATGCTCCGATGCATAGGACGCTGCACCGGATGCTGCACAGGACGCTAAGTGCCAGAGTCCAGTCAACATCAGTAAGGTTCCAGAGAGCCATTTTCGTGACCAGACGCGTCCGGTCAGTGCTGACCGGACGCTGGTCAGAGTTCGGTCAGTAGCAGAAAAGCGGGATTTCTTCCCCAACGGCTACTTTCTCAGTGGGGCTTATAAATAGACCCCCCCAACCGGCCATTTGAGGTGTGTGGAGCTGAGGAAACATACTTAGGGTGTTGATACACCATTTTAGTGATCTCCACTTGCATAGTGCTTAGTATTTCATTAGGTGATTAGCGTAGGTGCTTTGCGAAGTGCTTAGGTTGATTAGACCACCGCTTATGCGCTTGCTCTAGGTTTAGGCCTAGTGTTTAGTGAGGTTTGCATATCTCTTACCACTCGGTGCTTGCGCGCACCATTGTTGTACATTGGAGGGGCTTATAGTCTTGTGAGATCATACCAACCGTGTTTGTGGTGTGGCCGCCACCGTGTACCGGAGGAAACAAGGCCCGCGGCGTTTCGGCCGGAAGCTTGATAGTGAAGATGGCGGGGAGTATCCGGGAGAGGCTTGCCGGAAGGCACGTCGGAGACCCACTTGCATGTGGGGAAGGCCCGAGGCTATCCACGGAGTTACCCGACCGGGAGCTTGACCCTTGCGAGGGATTCCTTGCGAGGGGCTCCAACGAGGACTAGGGAGAAGCTTGCGCGCTTCTCGATACCTCGGTAAAAATACCGGAGTCGTCGACGGGAGTTTGCATATCTCTACCTTGCTCTTTAGCTTCCGCATTTACATTAATTGTATTACTCCTTTTGCGGTAGAGATAGCAACACACTAGCTAAACCGTAGTTGCACATTTAGATAGTTTATCTATCGCATAGGTTTTTGTAGGATTAGAAAAAGAGGCCATAGTTTAGAGTTAGAAGTTTTAGTTGCCTAATTCACCCCCTCTTAGGCGTCGCGGGCCTTTCATAAATAATGCAGGAAAACACCACAATTTAGAAGACAACCAAGCAATCAGAATTGTTAAAATTTTCATCCGGTCATTGATTAATGCTATATTAGGACTAGAGAGAGTGATTGCAGCTTGTGGATTCCTTGATGTTTGTTCATGGAGGAACCATAATTGTACTCTGTGCACTAGTACCTTGGATCCTTGAGCGGTTTGCTAATGACTCCCCATCCTAACTCGGTATGGAATGGCAACAAGGTAATTAGCTGGGGGGACAAGGAGACACTTGCCCTCGTGGCTTCAATCTCAATTGTGGGATGCCATAAAGTGACTTGCATCGTAGCAGGTGGTTCTTCTAGCTTGGCGGAGCCTTTATGGGCTCAGTAAAATGCCTTCAACAGGAGTGTATCCTTAGAGTAGTGGAGCTCTAGTGTAGACTAGGGTGGCAGACAGGCAGTGTATCTAATGATACCGAAGGATAAATCCTGTGTGCTGGAGCTTAATTGCATCCAACCTCATCATATTTACTTTCCATATTTATGTTGGTGGCCCTATAGTCTTATGGCTTGACGAGCTCTAACACTAAAACATATATATAAACTACAAAGAACGGCGAAATTAAAGATATCACATAAAATTTTCCATTCACCTTGAGCCAATCATTTCTCTTTCGTACACCAAATTACAATAATCATGTTTAAAAATTTGTTCCTAGACTAGAGCGAACTCAGTATAACCAAGTTCTTCTCATCATGCTTGTTGTTCATCAACCAAACAGACAGCTCACTGCTAAACTTCTCCATCGCCGGTTTCGGCAAAAGCACGGACACAATTGTCGAGTGCTCACCATCCTGGTTCTTGCATCTCATGTGGTCGCTTCCCAGCTTCGAAGTAAGGTCACCTGCCAGTGGTATCCCACCGCCCACCAGCTCAGCCCACCCAAACTGCGTCGCATTCGTGGCGATCCACTTGGTATCAGAGACCTCGTAGATCCTGTCCATCATCGGCGGCGGCCACTGCCGCGTCGACGCGATCGTGTCCACCATCGACTCCATACACTCCTTGGTCACGCTGAGCTTGGTCCTGCGCACGAGCTCAACCGTGTGGGCGAGCGGCTGGCCGCAGAGCTCGCCGGCGGTGGCCTCCGCTATGGGAGACACATGCGCGTTCCCGTAGTAGCCCCACGGGATGAGCGTGTGCTGGTTCCACTTGCCGCGCGCGTTCATGGTGACCATGAGGCGAACGCGTTGGTGGGACTCGTAGCCCAACGCTATCGTGCGGCATCGCCACATGACCGCGGTTAGCAGCTCGAAGGACGTAGCGGAGCTGGCGGCAAGCTGGTACCCCCTGAGGTGGCCTCGTAGGGTTGCTATCTCCCTCGGCCCGAAGAGGAAGTACTGGACTACCATGTCGTCCATTGGAGTTGACAGCATCACGTCGTCAGATTTACTGTTGTAATCTGATGATGAGCCATTGGAATGCGTGGTGGGAGATGACGATGACGACTTGTGTGGCCGTGTTAGAAGCTCTCTTCTCCATACGGGCAAAACTGTGGGCACTTTTTCACCGCGAGTTAGTTCAGCAACGCATCTAAAGAATTGAACCATACCGAATCCATCTGCAATGGTATGGCACATGTGGAATCCGATAACAAATCCGCCACATTTGAGCCTCGTCACCTACAAAAGAAAACATAAAAGAAACAATGTCAATCACGTATAAAAGCATAAAAGAAACAAGAGAAACTCTATATATTCTTGCTAGGAGGCACATGAAAGGAGCTAGGAAGCTGTATACCTGCATGAGGACCAATGGCTTGCCAATCACCGCTCTTGTTTCACCTGCATCGCACAGCAGTTCCTCGACACACGGGTACGGCGGCAGCAGAGGCTTGCCCAGCTCCTCCAGCCGCACGTCCGCATCGGCCTCCACAAACACCACTCCCTGCGCCGTGCAGTCCACCACCAGCTTCCCACCGGCGGCCTCCCTGAGTCGCCCGGCGATGGGGTAGTAGTACACGAGCGCCTCCGCGAGCGCTGCCTTGATGGCCTTGGCTGGATCATCTGGCTGTCTGTGGCTGGTGTAGCCATGGCGGCTGCGGAAGAAGGCGATCACCGTCTCGTAGTACCGCAGCGTCCGCTGGTCGTCCAGGTCGGAGAGGGCTTTCGTCTCGGATGGCGTCGGCCGTGCCGGTGACACCAGCTCCGGCTGCATGCGACGCGCCTTGAAGGACACCATATGGTACTCGTGTCTACTACTCTACTGTCTAGCTAGCGTGGGTATGGTGGGAGTGCGTATGTGATGTGGATGGAGATGGAGATGAAGATGGAGTGGGCGAGTGGCTTTCACAACTGTGCGATGTGTTGCAGGTGTATATGCTGGTGTACTATCTCTCTATAAGTACTAACACAAAATTAACAGGGCGTCACACGAAAAAAGGAAGGCTATGAAGAACCTTTGAGTCACTACTTGTGGTAGACATTGCAACCGTGCTTCGTGTTTCGTGGTCCTTATATAGGGCGTGATTGGTTGCTCCTTGGTCTGCCAGCCAGGATGGAGGGCCTGTGCAGGCTCGAACAATACTAAATGAGACCATGCACCTTGGCCTGTTTGGTTGCAAATGAGTGTAGCATACTGGATCATAGGAATCATGTTTGGTTGCTTGTGTGGATGGTTTTATCGTATGAATTGGTGTGCCCAGCTATGTTTGGTTCGGCGCACGACAGAAGGTGTGAGCACACAGGTATGGTTTTGGTGATGTTACCACCCTACTCAATAGTACAAGGCAGACAATAGAGATGTTTTTGTGCCTCAGTTCATTGTGCGCTGCCATTGACAATGACCTTGGAGCATCTAATGACAAAATACAAGCATACAACAATTTTCCCATCTAATAGTCAACAATATTAGGGTCACAGTACCTCACAAAGTCATTGTCATTACAAGTTGGCACGGCACATTTTGAGCATCACAAGCAGTTGTAGCAACGAGCAAGAACGAACTATAGGAGCACCAACAAGAAAAAAGACTGCACCACAGCCACAACAAATAACACCGGTGTGTTCCTGACCATCTTTGTTGGAGGCTTGACAAAAACTTTATCATCTTCACAACCCATGAACTCCAAATATGATGCTTCTGTCTTTTCTTTGTTAGGGAAGCTTTTGTAGCTGTTGTTTTTAAAATCAGTTACATGGGCATTGCATCTAGCCCAGGTTGCATATACCCCAGGAACCTTGCCACGGTACACAGCATACCAAGCCATGTGCCCCTTAAAAAACACATAAAAGAAAGTATAAGATGTTGATAAGATGAGGGTGGCAAGAAATCAGGCCTCACTGCATATCCAGCATTGACAAGATAGAATTTGCCTAGAAATTAGCAGATAGGGATATGTTTTAGTAGTTTCACTTAGGATTAAGCAAAGTGTTAATGGTTTTTTTGTTTGGATGATACCTGGTGGAACTCTAAGGCCATCATCTCTTTCAAGAGCATCAAACAAGATAAGAGCAACATGTGCAGATCCCTCCCAACCAGCAAGCACATGGTGAATCTGAGGTCAAAGTCCACGGCTGCCAACATATTTTGTGTGATGGTGTGCTTCCTGCCTCTAAAGGCAGCTTACATCTTCATAGGCACTATAGCTAAGACATGAGTACCATCAATTGCTCCTATGCAGTCCTAAATTAACAAAACATAAGTGCAAGTGAACATTGACACTAAATTGATAATGAATGAGACCTATGTATGACAAGTTATGGATACCAACCGTGAAATAGGGTTACCACCTTGCTCCCAAGGATCCTAGGATGGACATTGATAGCAGGAGGGACATTCAATTCATTTCTCAGCTCTCCTACCCCATATAACACCTTCTGGAAGAACCTACTAATTGTCTCTACGAACCTCCTAAAGGTGAGGTCAACCACCCTAAACCTCTCATTGTGACCAACAACATGCAAAAACATGGCTACTTGTTCTTCAACAGATGCATATATGCTGTTAGTGACAAGTTCTCTACTATGGAAAAGGTCACAAAGTTGGAAAAAGGGGCCCTTTTCATTCTAAGAAGATTGACACAGTGCACATCATCAGATTCATAGATGTATCTAAGGTTGTTCATCCTCTGTTTGTCCCTCTCAGTCATGGGACCATAGGTGACTAAGTGCGAATCTTCAACTCTCCTCCTAAACCACATGAAAAACCAAGCAGCCACTGCAACAACGACAGCAGCGACAACCCTGCGCCTAGCTTCAAAGGCCATGTCTACCAACAGGATGGAGGGCAACATTAGAAAGGGAGCATGCAACATGGGTGTGTACTGCTTAGCAAGCAAAAAAATAGACAAAATGAACTATGAAAGACGCGACTGCCACACCAAAGGGTGCTCCTCCAGCGTATACTATTACACAATCAACATCACTGACCTCTAGGCACTTTGCTCAGTGTGTACAACAAAATAGGCATCAGCATGTACAAGATCTAAATAAAACATGAGGTATACACCAAATACGAAGCATTATGTACAGATCTGAGCTAGGAATAGGTAAATCAGGTATAACATCGCACAAATCTGAGGATGTCAAACCAAAAACCCTAATTTCTTGGCATTGCAAGCAAAATCCACAAACAAATCAACAAAATCAACACTAAAGAAGGAGGGGGGGAAGAGCGCAGGTGGCATATACCATCGAAGCGCCGAAGGACTGAGAGAAATCCACCGGCGGTGGTCACCTCGGTAGGGCTTGAGGTCGAGGGGGAGCTAGAGGGGAGTTCGCACCAGAGCTATGGTGGAAGGAAAGGCGAAGAGTGAGGGCGGTAACCCTAGCCGGGACCCGCGCTCGCGCTTTATCGCCAGGACGGCCTCATCTCCCGCGCTCTCCGCAAAAGGTTCCCGCCAAGCATCAAGCGAGCCTGCACCGAGAGGGAAGTGGGGATCGAGAAGACGGCGCCATCCGGGATGGAGGAGGGAATCTGCACAAGAGGAAGCAGGAGAAACGTGCGAGTAGGGCAACTAAACACAGGTGAATGCACCAAAGGGTGCGGGATGGGCCATATGACGGCCCGGTTCGGGCAACCAATCATGCCCATAATGCACATCATTGAGGTAGCTATAAGTCTCTATCTATCTATCTATCTATCTATCTATCTATCTATCTAGATAGATAGATAGATAGATAGATATACCTTAATAATAAGGGTTATTTAGAATAGTGTCATTATAATTTTCAAAGTTTTGAGAAGTACCGTTACTATTCATCTATTATGAATCTTATATTATATTTCTTCCTTCCTTTGAAATATGCCACGGTATACGTCCAGAGAGGCCTTGGGCCCAACTGCAAGAGTACACGCATCACCATATTTTCATATGGACAAAACTGCCCCTCCACCTTCATCTCTCTATGTGTCACTGACTGTGGACCCCATAGTCATCTCCTTCCTTTCCTGTCGTCTTCTCCACGGCGGCCAAGGTGGTCGAGCACTGGGAGTTCCCTACCATCAGGGACACACTGGTGTTCGACTCGCGGGAGGACGCCAAGGAGTACCTCGCCGCGACCACCTGCAGTCTTGCGGGCGCGTCGGGCTCGGGTGCCGCGAGGCCGTGCTGTAGACTGCCATGGCACAACTCAAGGACGAGTTCCGCCACTTCCTCGTCCGTGGGGTGCAGCCGCTCGCCACTGAGGATGTCTTGGCCTCGCTTCTTCGACGGCTATCGCTTACGGTACCTTTCTTCAACTTCTTCACCATAGACCTAGATGGTCTCTCCTTTGCTCACCACAACACCGAGAGGGGAGACAAGTAGGGCGGCAGGAGCTCCGCCTCCAATGAGAAGATCTTGCTCTACCTCATGCTACGAGCATCGCCGCCGCCTCGCACGAGAGCGCAAGCGCGCAGTTGCCACCGGTGGCCTAGCACGCACTAGAAGCACAGGGTCAACATCGGCACAGGTCGTAGTTGGGGAAGAATCTGCAATCTGCATGGAGAAGTGGACGGGGAAGGAAAGAGGAAGGAGGAAGGTGATGACAGTGGGCTCCACGCGTCAGTGACACATAAAGATGAATGAAGGTGGAGGGGCAGTTTGTCCATACGAAAATATGGTGATGCCGTTTACGCCTGTAGTTGGGCTAAGGCCTCTCTGGACGTATACCTTGGCATATTTCAAAGGGAGGAAGAATTGTAATGTTAAGATTCAGAATAGGTGAATAGTAATAGTATTTCTCAAAACTTCTAAAATTATAATGGCACCAATCAAATAACCATAATAATAAAGCGGCAAAATTTCTCGTTACCTTTTTTTTTTTTTTTTTTTGCTACCGGCGAGTACAGAGCGGTTATGGTTGGTGGTCCTGGGTACGAGTGCTGCATGTCATGGAGGCAGTTGTAACTTGTAGGTAAGACATAAATTGCTGAAGAAATCTGGCGGACCTTAATTGAAACCTCATCTTCTCCCGCCAGCTAATAATTTCACTGTATCCGTGTTGTCGTGAATATCAGCTCTGAGGCTGGGCCAATACATCATGCATGCACTGATCAAGACTAGATGTGCATGCTCCTATATGAGTACATGACACTTGCATGCTCCTATATGAGTACATGGCACACATACTGTATGTACATTGAATGACCGCCTTGCCAGAAATCAAATCCATGCACCTACTGAAAGAACCGTGACACTACAAGGCATTCAATGTGTCCTTTGCGCTGAAAACCTGTTTCCACTGGCATCTCTGATTAAGTTGGAGCACCATCGTCCTATATTGAGTCACAGAGTATGTATGGCATAATAGTAAAGCGATATGGCTCACTCGTTTTCTAATCCACATGTGATGTTCAATGCGAGACACCAGCCCGGCAGCCCATCTTGCATTACCATCAAGACGCAACAAGTACTTGTACAGTTCGGCTGCCTCGCAGTAATGTGCAGAAGACCTCGATCAGATCCACCGCCCTGACACTTTTGTGTGCCTTGGATGGTTGAATTCTTTCAAATGAGCCCTTGTTTAGTTGGAGAAATTTGGATTTTGGAGTTACTGTAGCACGTTCGTTTTTATTTGGCAAATAGTGTTCAAACATGGACTAATTAGGCTCAAAACGTTCGTCTCGCAATTTCCCACCAAACTGTGTAATTAGTTTTTCTTTTCGTCTACATTTAATGATCCATGCACGTGCCGCAAACATTCGATGTGACAGATACTGTAGCAACTTTTTAGAAGTTGGGGTAAAACTAAATAAGGGCTGAATCATTGATATTGCACCTACTACCTACTAGCTTGCATTGCAATTTCATGCCCATCTGTGTACAAGTACAGGTTGGTACTCGATCAGCATGCATGGACACAGGGACCCGGCACCAGCTCGCAGAAACGCATTAACGGCAAAGGCGAATGTCACAGCATCTTCAGACGAAACACTAATGGCACTTCAGCAGCTCAAGTGGAGCTTCCAAAAAGATAGATTGCACCAATCTTAAAGCAACCTGGTAATTAATTTAATTAATTTTGTAATGGGCAATGCTTGGGCCCAGCCCCAAGCATACCCAATTTAAACCCAGCCCCACCAGCACACGTAATGGTTTTTGTCCAATAGTTCTGAACCCAAATTGGCCATTGCATGCGTTTCGTTTTCCTTCGTCAGTCACATTGTATGTGCAGTGGCGATGGCGACGCCACCCAGCAGGGACAGAGGCGTTGTGCCATGCCTCATCTATGCTGATCTGTTATTAGGGGATCGGCCGCCACCCCCTCATAGACTGCAATAGTGATGGTGGACCTGACGAACCTGATGAGGAACTGGAGTTCCATCTTGACTTTACTGATGATAGCAGCTCAGAGAATGAAAACATGTCGTTGAGTCCAAACCCAGCATCAAAGGAAAAACATCTCAATGGTCAAGCACAAAATGGTGCAATTAACTTTCCATATAGTCAAATTTGTTTTGTCCTTAGGAGCAAACAATATGAACTAAAAAATCATATATCCCTACTGATGAAACCCTGTCTATTTGTGTTCACAGGGAGATGCAATGCTAGTTATGGCAAGGAAATCTTTTGGAGAACTACATATGCTGTAGAGTGATCCAATTCATTGGACAAGTATCGGGTCATAGTAAAAAAATGACCTTTGCAATTCAATGATAAAATACATGAAGCCTTGTAATGGTTCAAGACTTCAAAGAAGATTTACCCAAGTTGGTCTTTTTTATCCCATTTATTTCTCAAAAACTTACTGCCACTACAATCTAATTTGATCTGAGATATTATCATGTCAATCGCAGAAGACAAATGGCAGCTCAATTTATATATTCAGAGGAAAATTAGGATCAGATGGCGAAGAAGATAGCCGGAGGGATCATGAATGATGTCGCAGAATATTGTTGGTCGGCTCCACCTACCCTTGTACTCTATACTCCTCTCTTTGCCTAAAGGGCAAAGTAGACAGACATGGCCGGGATGGCCTTTACTTGGTAGTATGGCTACAGTAGGTAGTTGGTAGTATGGGTGATGCTAGCCATGTACTTGTTGTCGGTGAAACATCACCGTGGCAGAACCGTTCGAAATAGCACGTTTTTAGAGGCGCTTGTCTTTTACCAGATACTAAGCACCTCGAAAGTTAGCTACATCGAATGGTTCCGTCGAGCACACTCTAAGGGAGAACTCGAATAATCCACGTTTTTCCTTCAGGATCCAATAACGAGAACGAGTTTACAATACATAGTCCATTTTATACAACCAGAGTTTTTAGAAATACACTATTACAATACTAAGTTCAGAGTGTGGAATTTAAACAGCGGAATTACAATAAACATCTAACGGTAGAATACAAGGATCCGTCTGTACCCAGTAGAAGAATTCTTCACACAACAGCTACTCTTCAAACTGCACCTGCAACAGGGATAAATAAACCCTGAGTACACGATGTACTCACAAGACTTACCCGACTAGTGGGAATAACTTCCCAACTCCAAAGGATATGATAAGCTTTTTGGGTTGCTGGGTTTTCTTTTTGTGGGAAGCAATACTAATAGTGAATCCTTATGTATGTTTCTTATTAGCAGTCATGATTAGTTTATTATCTAACCATTTTATGTAAGCACATGTTCTACTTTCAAGCAAGAGTTGAGCAAACAGATTCATTTCACCATCTTTCATCTTCCAGTTCTTACTACGGTGCTAGACTGTAGACAAGTCGTACCGGATTACCCGGCGATTCGTAAATCAATACGCCTAGCTGGGTACCCCGAAACACACGCCCCGCTTGTACCCCAGGCACAAATAGGACCAACCCACCACTCTCCTGTCCAGGGGTCTAGGTCCCCATCCAAACTTAGACTCCAAGCCACCACAGCTGAGTTCCGAACTCAGTGTAGTGCTTAGACCTCCTTCATCCCCACCTACAATCAGTCGGTCCGGAAAGAGCCGGAAGCCACGACATGAGAGCAACGAGCCTTCACTGCTCCCATAAACAAGTATGTGCTCAGGATAATAAGTCTGTGACTTGACTAAAATCCAATGCAACGGCCGGTCCTTAACCGACACAGACAGAGAAAACAGTGTAACCAAGCTATGCCCCGTTGGCCGCGGAACACAACCTCTTACACCGACCAATACCCATACCATATCTATGCCCGATCTCTATTTTTCCTTTCACCATTTTATCGTAAGAGTGATAATAATAATCACCTATTATGAGTAACGGCAGGTTACTCACGCTACCAAAAATCCTAAGCATAGCAGCTACTTGCACCTATACTAGTAGGACTCATAGGACAGATATATTTATGCAGGTGGTTTCCATAAAATGCCTGCAACGTAAATGCACACATATATATATATATATATATATATATATATATATATTCAGTGCTTATTCAACATAAGGGTTATACACCGGTGCTTGTCTTGGGCAGGCGGGTGGTCAGCTATGACAGTCGTCGGTGGCTCTAGGACCTCCTCCTACACGAGGATCTCCTCCCCGTACTCTTCAATCACCTCCTCGCACTCCTGCTCGCCCACGGTCACGAACTCCACCAACTCATTCTCTACTTGCATGCAATGACGATGCGACACTCAATATTAAGGCAATAGTAGTTCTTAGAATAAGAATACATCGACTAAGCCACTAAGCTAGCTCTAATGACTAAGATACCGAGCTAATCATCATTTCTATCAAACCAGCAGGGTTTCACCTACAAGTGCTACTTAGCAACTAAAATATAGTCTTACTCTTATTAACGATTTCCTATATACTACAACAAGGAGTACTTAGCTATCATATTTCTCAACCTATTCTAAGGCTACAAAAAATATAGTGAGTACATAACAATACCATGAAGCTATTGTAAAATTTTCAAAGCTACAACTATCACCATATTGCCACAAAAATTCCTATAATATTTAACCTAATAATATTAAGCACTCTCAAATAATTTAATAGTTCCTAGTATCAACAAGTATATATATGAACTAAATATACTAACAGATAGAGTACAATTTTAGGAACTTAAAAAAATTTGTTTCATAATTTTGGGACATCTACATGATTTTATATGATTTACCAAAGTTCAGCTCAGAATTACAAATAAAAAGCTATTTCTATTTTCCACGAAAAATCTAAACTGATTTCGGCCCACGCGGCCCACGTGGCGCAACATAGGCGAGGCACGGCCCACGCGCGGAGGTGGCCCGCGGCGAGGAGGCTTGCGCCCCTGGACTATGAGCAAAACAACCCGTAGTCCATGTCACTATTCGTAGAGACAACACTTATGCAAAAGAACCATCGGACCTTTCTCCTCTTTGGAACGGTG